ACAGGGCTTTCGCAAAAAATGTGTCCATTACGAGCAAAGGCGTCTTATGCACCCCTCGCCCTCCGGGACGTTCACTTGATGGTTTTTATTGATGTTTCAAAACGAATGAGAAGGGAGCGGCAAAATACAGGCGGCCCATGGGCGGCAAGTAAGTAAATCCGGCCCTACAAACCTATCGAAATATTTTCCATAAAACCGACGCTTCGTACCTACATATGATTTTGTGATCCAAAACTACTTTTCCAACCTGTTTTTTTACCCAAAACTAGACAATATTTCATCCCCCACCGTCACTCACGCGTTATTACGGGGTTGTTCCCATTCTCGCATATCGCGAGACGTAATTCATGATCAGGCTCTTATAATACCTTTATTTAAATCATCATGTTACTTCAGACCGCTCTGGTTGGTAGATCAAACATACTGTCAACTAATGAAAAGTCTAAATATTGACCTTTGCCATTTTATACAGGCCGTTGCGTGCAGTCGCGGCTTGCGACGGATTTTCGCGGGTCCTAGCACCTGTTTTGCGTCATCAAAATATTAATCCGCTTTTCTTTTAGCTCCTCGTATCCATCGTTCCTGTGCGGATGGTGCCGGTTAAGGATCCGCGTAGAGTGACTAAAGGAGACGGTCATTTGGGACAATAAAGATGTTGCATGTGTGAGGGATTCGCGATTTGACCATTGATTCATATGTAAAAGTTCGCGAGAAACACGATGGTGCCACTGGTTTTCTCTGAAATCATCTTCCAAGCTCAAAAAAAGCTCTCAAAGTGAGGCTAAAATGGAGGGGATATCCCACCCTACCCTGAGAGTCCACCTCTACATCAAAACAAACTCTCCGTGCAAAGATAGGGAGCAAATACATAAGCAGGGTTGCCTTGTTTTCAGTTTTGGAGTCCCCATATAAAGTGGCAGCCCTTTCAATGTGTTTGCTCCCTATTTTTGCATGGAGAATTTGTCTTGATGTAGACGTGGACTCTCAGGGTAGGGTGGGATATTCCCTCCATTTTGGCCTCAACTTGGGAGCTTTTTTTGAGTTTGGGAGTTGATTTCAGAGAAAACCAGTGGCACCATCGTGTTTCTCGCGAGCTTTTACTTAAGAATCAACAGTCAAATCGTAAATTCCTCACACATGCAACATCTCCATTCCCGCTTCCCAGAGGACAGTGAAATCTGAAATATTGGAGGAAAAAACTCCCATGGATAAAAATGTGCTTCCATTCAGCATTTTGACTTCCGTCGATGAATGTTGACGGATTTTACACCGATCTCTAAATTTTTCTTCAGAGACGTCGCGTAAGATAAAACTTGGGAGAGGGGGGGTGTCCATCGGTCGAGGGAGTCCTCCGCAGGAAAATGTTTGAAACTTGGGCACCTCCAGGGCGCAATTTTCTGTTATTTTCACCGTCAAAGATCACCCAAAAAGAAATAAAAAAATAATCAGGAATCAGAAAACCGTCCTCGCCTGATACACGCGCCGATACGGTTTATCTAGAACGGTAGCGAAAAAGCCAAGAATATACGCCAAGACAGATAAATCAACTGAGCAGTGTTTTTCTAACTTCGACGAAATAACTATATTTTGGCGACCATATTACTAATTAGGACGTATGTATGCTAAAAGGAAAGTTCTTTTTTGCATAATTACGTCCATTAGGCCCCTCCGTAAAAAATAAATATTTCAGTGCGCACTTAATTTTTCAAATTGGGCACATATAATACTTTCTCTCCTTATAGCTGTTTCTTCTTCCCTGTGCTTTCTTCTCTTTTTTTAATCAAAGAGGGAGGCCTTGCTACGATGGCTCCCTCCAAAACTGTCTACGTTCCCAGCGGGCCGATTATTGAAACTGATGGACAAAGCCATAGACAAAGACGACAAAAGGGATTTGGAGGGATCCTATTGGTGGAAGCGGGTGGTGGCAATGGACATAGAAGGTAGGTAATGGACTAACTAACGGCAACCCACGAGAAACCTGACAGTTAGTCCATCATTTTCTTCCTTAGTCTATAAGAACCAATCATGTCAACCAATAGGATCGCTCTACACTCCTATGTCTTCTTTGTCTATCGCTTTGCCTATCAATTTCAATAATCAACCCGCAGGCAAGATAAGAACGTCCAGGATCTGGACGGATGGCGCGACATGCAAACTGGAGGAAAGAAGTAGCCGGCCGCGTTATTAGTTAGCGCGGTGACTCGGGGGACTCGGAGTCCTGGGGCCGCGCTGGGGTGAATCGGAATCCAACTCGGCGACGGCAACGGCAGCGCGAGCGAGCACTGCGCAAAAACAGCATAACTGCCGCGGAAATCCGCCGAAGATACGCGGTTTTAACCTAGCACGGCGGAGCAGACTGACAGACTACTTGCTCAGCCAAATGCCAAGGCAACCAGCACCGAGCTGCTTCGCACAGTGGAAACTAAGAATGACTGGATGACAGAGGCGTCATTTCCGGCTGTTCTTGTGTGAGGGGGAGGGGAGGGGGGAGGGGGGGGGGCTCAGAACAAAAATCTTGAAAATGCCTAAATTTAATTCTAAGGAGGGGTTATCTCTAAAATCAATTGGGAAAGCGGTCGTCCACCCCTCTGCCCTCCCCGACTGACGCCTCTGCTGGATGAACTTGTTTTATTTGTTCACGGAGAGAAGGTTTCATGATCACAGAGAGGAAAGAATCGTTGCCCTCACGGTGTTCTTAGTGATTTCTAGTCTCTAGTCATAGCAGATTTCTATTTGATAACGGATCCTATAAGGTGGATCGAGAGATAGCTCAAGTGGAGAGGGCGTTTGGCAATGTGGAATAGGGGGAGGACAGCCCCAGATGAACAGGGCGGATCTAGGGATCCCGGGGAATTTTTCGACAAGAGAGTCCTTTGGCTCGAATTTTAGAAAATTTTAGTATGAGTTCGGGGAGTTCCACGGTGGATAAATACCTACTGACTATCCTGTGGATAATCCATCTGGACCCCCCTCCTCCATAGAGCGTTACGTATGAATGAAGACTTCTAAGACTTCTCCCTTAACTTCCGCCACCGCGCCGCGCAGACCGCACCGTGTTTAGCGCGATGCGTGAAGTATTCACGCAGTCTTGTAGGCGCTTTGCGTTTCACGCTGACCGAACTGTGTTTGGCGCAATGCGTGAAGTATTCATGCATTCTTGTAGGCGCTATCCGTTTCACGCTGACCGCAATGACCGCACTGTGTTTGATGCAATGCGTGAAGTATTCGTGCAGTCTTGTAGGCGCTAGTATGTGTTACATGCCAATCGCCGCGCCGAGGGCTCTCTTTTCATTTCAAGTCCTCGTTATCATTTCTCTCTAAGTCGCGCCGTTCTAGGCCAAATTGCGTGTTTGATTTCTCTCGTAATTCGACTTATTGAGGGTGCTGTCTCTTGTATCACTAATAGACGACAAAATTAGAAATTTCCTTACTCTCAGGAAACGACATATTCTGTAGCCTTTTCTCTTTCGTAATTTTATTTTTCTAAATCCTATTTTTTTCATATATACATTTAAAAGAATTGCAAAATTTGCCGCCCCCTAGATTTGCCGCCCCCTAGATTTGCCGCCATGGGCCGCGGCCCATATGGCCACCCCCTTAATCCGGCCCTGCGGGTCGATTGTTGAATCGTTATCGAATGCTTCTGATCGATAAACCCCTATCTTAACAATGCTGTATATCGATCAAGGTCATTCGATAACGATTCAACGATCAAGGAGCTGGTGGCCCACGAATTCGGATTCAGATGATCCAATCCACTGCGGCGAAAATACGCTGCAAGTTGCCATTGCTCCTACTGTGCGCCGAGCGAGTCCGAGTTGCCGCTCGCGACCTGAAGAGGCGCGCGGATCGCGAGGCGCTTTTCCGCGGCGACAAAAACACGCCGCGGGTGCGTCACGCGGCTCGGCCCGTGTCTCCCGCCCTTCCGCCTCCCCGGTCTCCTCGCCCTCACGAACGGACAAATGCCTCGCTCCCCAATCAAGCGACTGCCTCCCCGTCATCGGTTGTCGCTGTCAGTTCGGATCCACGCACGCTTCCCGCGTGATTTTCTGCCTCCGACTCCACGTGGCGTGCCTCCTCGCAGTTCCCGCGGTGTGATTCAAGTTAGTCTATCTCAGGTTTGAAACCGATTGTAACGTTTACAGAATGTGTATCGAATGGAAATCTCCTGTTTCAGCTAAAGGTCCCCGCGATTTCTCTTCACGGAAGTAAGACGGAAAAAGCTTTCTGTATCCCCCTTTTTTTCAGTGTTGCCAATGAGTTATAAAATCATCTTTTTCCCTCGATTCTGTTCACTGAGATTTCAATCAAGGTAAAACTTATCTCAGGCTCGAAACCGATTGTAACGTTTACAGAATGTGTATCGAATGGAAATCTCCTGTTTCAGCTAAAGGTCCCCGCGATTCCTCTTTACGGAAGTAAGACGGAAAAAGCTTTCTGCACCCCCCTTTTTTCCAGTGTTGCCAATGAGTTATAAACTCATTTTTGTCCCTCGATTCTGTTCACTGAGATTTCAATCAAGGTAAAACTTATCTCAGGCTCGAAACCGATTGTAACGTTTACAGAATGTGTATCGAATGGAAATCTCCTGTTTCAGCTAAAGGTCCCCGCGATTTCTCTTCACGGAAGTAAGACGGAAAAAGCTTTCTGTATCCCCCTTTTTTTCAGTGTTGCCAATGAGTTATAAAATCATCTTTTTCCCTCGATTCTGTTCACTGGGATTTCAATCAAGGTATAACGACATTTTAACGTTGTACCGCTGAACAATCACTCATTCCTCTTCAGTATAGTTATTTGTTTCCTTGAGACTTCTTCCGCTAGAGGGCGCTCTTTGGAATATCACCCGTACCACTCTACTTTTTCCCCAATTTGCGGGTCCTTGCAGAGGTCCTCCTACTGGTAAAAAGGTTGAAGGACAGGTTGAGGTTGAGACCAATGCCTCAGACCCCGCTCTGCTGCCACAGCTCCATAATGCGCTCCTCGGACTCGCCGTCGTTCAACATCCAGTTCGTCAACATCATCAAGAAGTACCCGGTCCTTTATTCGGCCAGCAATATGGGCTACGAGGTTAAGGAGGAGCTGGAAACCGCCTGGGATTGCGTCGCCAGAGAGGTCGGCGAATCAGGTGAGACTCAGCGATCAGCAGTTGATTTGAGGAAATTCGAAGTCTGGTACGCGCAATCAGGTGTTGTACAGGATTGTGCAATTGTTCCCTGCCCTTAAAAGGTGATTTTTTCCTTCCAAGGGACTGATTTTGAGAATAACGATTTAAGTCATGTAAATAAATCGGAAATGTATATACAATTTTCCAAAGAAAAGCCCATGTAAAGGAAGAACTATGAATCTGCTATAGTGAAACGTTCAGCATGTACGTGCTCAAATAAAGTATCACCTGATTTTACTTACCAGGTTTTGAATTTCCACTCTCGAGTTCTGTATTCTTCAGAAGATATCTTTATAGGGAGAGTATATCGATTGCCAAAGTGCAAAACCACATATCATATCTCCGTTTGCAACGTCGCATATCTCCTGTTATACTTTATGCAATCTTTGGAAAAGTAGTCAAGATGTAACTCTGTTGCACTTTTCCGCACTCTTTTGTCTCTCTTTGGAAAAGTAAAATTAGAGCGGAAATTCTGAAACACCGCTATGGACATACGTGATTTCTCACTTTAGTAATCGATGTAGATGATGACTTTGGAAATGAACTGAAAAAGGACACATGCCTTGATTACAAGGTTTATTGATTTCGGAGCTTCCATGTAGCAGTTTAGATCACGTCCGCCATCCTGGATGTTTTATTTTGGAGATTTGACTTAAAACGCATGATATCCTAAATCTGAGCTCAAATTCGGATTCCTCGTTGAAAATTGGTAGGAGCCCATGTGTCATACTTTAGTATAACATGAGGGAGAGTCGCTAAACGTAGGCGGACTGATCGGAATCATTCCCGTTGACCCACTGGAGAACTCATCGGCACTCGAAGAGTTCAACCCTTTTATCTATGCCGCCAGCCGCGTGGCGGCATAGCTAAAAGGGTGCTCGGTCGGTGCTAGCGCCTGGCGCTTACAGAGCTCCCCCGATTTGGACTGATATGTTAGAATCAGTATGCCTTCGTTTAGCCCCTTCTCTTTTTGCTACGTTTCCGTATTATACATGAATTTGCATCGATTTTTAACGAGGCGTCCGAATCTAACCTTAGATTTTGGATACCGTGCATTTTAAGGCACATTTTCAAACTCCCAATATCTAACAGCTGACGCGGCCTGAAAATAATGCTGTCTCGGATTGTGTTCAATCAATTATTGTGAAATTCGGCAGCTGATGGTATTTTTCGACGAGAAGCTCGAATTTATGAAGTCAAATTTCTTAAATGCACTGGAAAAAAAAATACATTGGATCTAGAGTCCAGACTCTTGAAAACATTGACAATAAAAAGGACTATTGATTCAATCAGATTTAAGCGTAAATCTAAAGGAAAACCGCTCAAATTAAGAGGCTTGGTTCTTGATTTAAGCTAAAATCTGATTGAATCAAGAGTATTTTTTCTTGTCGATGTTTTTAAGAGTCTGGGCTCTAGATCCAATGTGTTTTTTTTTCAGTGTGCCAAAATGTAAGATGGCGGACCTGTCCTGACATGCTATGTCGGCTCCCATATAGCCCGTGCCTGCTTCTTTTTCTTTTTTGCGTACAAAATGGTCTATCGACAAAAACTACATGCCCACGTATCTCGTTTGCGGTGTTTGAATATCTCTGCTGGATTTTTTTATTTTTTTTTTGAAGGAATGCAGATGAATATCATTAGTTGTAGTTTTCTGAGAAAATTCTTCACATAGAGAAGAAAAGTCTTGGAAATTTTCAAGAATTGACGTTGAGTGGTTTTTCATTTTAAAAATAAAGCACGCCTGGAAGTCTGCATCGTCTCGAACGTGTCGTGATACGTGTTCTGGTAGTTTCACCGTCGTTATTCCTAACGTTCCTTTAATAAAATATTCGACGAACCTTTCTAGCAGCTCAGAGAAAATGAGTCTCCAAAACTTCTAAAACAAACGCGAGAGAGAAGTTGGCTCAAAGGACTCAAGGGTTGATCAGTGAAAGTGATGGAAACGCACCGCGGAAGGTTTATCTCTCCTACCGTGCTGGGAAACGATGAATGAAAAAATTCGCTAGATGACTAATCGAAGGAGATTCCTTTTGATTCGTCGTTAAACTCGATTTTTACGACGAGACTTGTCAACGCCGACGGTCATTTATGCTGACCGTAGCTTGAGACGAGCAGTACGTAAGATGATGCCTTGGACTCGTTCGCCACACAGTTGATAAGGGGTCACTCCGGGGAGATAATGTGACTTTTACCAAAGCTACATTGCATCACGGCTGTCAAGTCGGACGACGAATTAAAACGTCCATGATGTTGAATTTGGAGCTCATCGTTGAATTTAGCATCCTTGTTGATTGTTGCGTTGATTCCGAGGCTCACTAGTTATAAGCAACAATGTAGCTGAAAATGTAATTGTGCATCTTTGCCTATATATTGAGGGGGCATCAATGCAGACTTCTTCAAGGGACATACTTTACCCAAATCAGACTTCATTTCGCGATCCGGAACAAAAATTTCAGGCTCGCTTTAGAAACAACGTATGTACTATTACCATTAGTTTCCCCATGTACGTAAGTGTTTTTACGGAGCCAGAAATTGTAGTTCTTAAAATTACTAAATGCAAAAATTACACAAATTTCAGGCTTAGTATAGAAACAACGTATGTACCATTAGTCTCCCTATGTACGTAAGTGTTTTTACGGAGCCAGAAATTGTAGTTCTTAAAATTACTAAACGTAGTCCACTTTATGAGGGGAGCATTGCTGCAACCTTGAGTTTGAGAGGGAATATGTTACCTTCTCGCGCTTGTTCCATCTTTACGTTATTTGAAGGGGCACCGGCACGGGGAGGGGGGGGGAGGGCTTTCCTACCATTTAAAATGTTGGGCATTTTTTGAAAATTTTAAGAATCTTTGACATGTTTAGGGCATTTTCCTCCTCCCACCCATCAGCAATTTTTGTCTATACCCGGCCCCGCTCGATCAAACTAGAGTGAAACCTCCTGATTTTTTTTACAACGTAATTTTATTCAGAAGAGACAGAGAGTTGCGAGAGTTACATTAAACAAGAGCTTGGGTTGGACAGAGAGGAGTCAAGCGAGTGCTTTAAACGCAAAAATTAGCAAAAATTTATCAAAAAGTAGGGACACTAAATATTAAATTTCCACCTGAAAATTTATAAAAAAGATGAAGAAAGGTTTTTTATTCTAAAGAGATATGCGTACGAAATAATCCTGCGAACGGCCGCACTGATGTGGAGACTTTTATAAAAATTCTGAAATTAAATCAGGCTCGGACTGGCCATAAGGCCAATCTGCAATTGGCAGATACGCCTCCTTGGTGCGCCGAAAACACGCCCCTCTGATAGATAGCAAAATAAGAAGAGAAAAAAAATTACGACCGAGAATATATGCAGAAAATTTCTTAAATGAACGGAAAAAGAGAGAGGTAGGAGTAAAAAAAGGTGCTATAACGCATGACGAAGGCGGAAAGAGGTCCAAGAACTACTTTCTGAAGCATAAATACTTTTCTGTGCAATTTTCACCTTCTTGTCGACATACAGGCGCTTTATCATCCCCCTCCTTCATTCGCTCTGTGTAACTCCTTTAGAAGCGAAGGTTTGTTCGATTTTTAGACATACGCACCCTTTGTAGACCTCTTCAGAGACCTTTAAACATATTTCTTCCTTTTCAAAATGACTATTGATTTGGACATACCATAGCATATCTAAGGCAAAAATAAATTTCATTATCTCGAAATACAAAAATAAGAGGCATCTAAAGTGTAAACGCGATATGACGATTCGCGCAAGATGGATGTCCACATTGCATATGAAAAATGTAAGAAGCGATGGCGTGAGTCGTGAACTCGCAATACTCTGCTCTACGCTACTAGTTTGAAGCTCCACTACGAATAAGACAAACGCAAACGAACACAATATGGAAATAAAGCGAGGGAAAGGATGCGCGTCCACGACGGCGCAGAGATACAACTATTCGTACTTGATGGACATCCTTGCTGCATCTGAAAAATTGAAGGCGCGATGACGCGAAGCGTGAGTTCTCAATGCTCTGAAATATGCTGTTAATGAGGTGTTGAGGAAGAGTTAAAAAAGAGTCCCGAACACATCTCTCCTACCTTCGGCTGTGTTACTCACGAAGTGCTTGAAGTACCATTACGAATAAGATAGACGCAAACAAACACATTATGGAAATAAAGCGAGGGAAAGAATGCGCGTTTACGACGGCGCAGAGATACAACTATTCGTACTTGATGGACGTCCATGCTGCATCTGAAAATTTGAAGGCGCGATGACGCAAAGCGTGACCTCTCAATGCTCTGCTTCATGCTGTCAATGAAGTGTCGCCTTGATTCGGAAGAAAAGTCAAAAAAGAGGCCCGAACACATCTCTCCTACCTTCGGCTGTGTTGATACTCGTTCTTCCCTCTTCTCTCAGGTTCTTGTCTGATTCTTTTTTAGGATGGACTTGCAGACCCACGCCCTAAGCTCAAGGAAACCACAGCACTGGCTCGGTCCTTTTGGAAATAATGGTGCTTGGATGCGTCTAGTGGCTTTAAATACTTATTTTTTCTTTAAATTCAGAAGTCTGCCGGTTACTTCGATGCGTTCAATTTTGCAATTTTTACTCTGTACACTTTGAACCTGAAAATAGCGTAAGCCTGTGCTGCTTTGCCAAAATTTTCTGAACCCCTCTCCACGTAGGGTATGCCCTACCGGAAATGTCACATTACGTCCCTTGAACCAGCCAAGAGGGCCTACGCCCTCAGATGCGAGCCAGTCCGACCCTGAATTAAATCAAACGTAAAAATTCACCACAAAAGCTCACGTTTTTGCAGCATTTCGTTTAAATTTTAACGCGAAATATAAACGCCACTGCCTATACTTCTGTTTGTGGTAACATATGTACCTATAGGACATCGCATCGGTAGCATTTCTTTCGAGTTTTTTTCATGCTCAACTAGCGTAGATCTCTGCATCTCAATTCTCAACTTCGCAACTCGGCAACATCGTAGAGTAGAGTCGCTATGCACACATTGGAGCGGCAATGAAGTCACTTTTTGAGGCAGTTTAGTCCAGTATCTCTGAGACCAGTGTGCGGCGACTGGCGATGCCGTACAGGTAACTCCGAGCCTCTCTCAGAATATATTGACATAAAAAGCTCATAAAAGCCGGAAGTTTCATCCTTTTAAACTATCATGACCTCGGTCAACATAATTTGCCAAAATTGGTCGTAGTAATTATCGATTGAAATTGATAAATCCCGAAAACTATTCGTAGCCCACGATTCTTCCGAGAACCATCGTGTTAAAGTATGCTGCATGCTGCCGTGATAGCGAAGAGAGCCGTAAGTGCAAAATTTTCGAAATCGAGTTTTCTTCAAAATTCGTCTAAACTCTTTTAGATGAAATTACTGAGACAGCTAAAACAGCAAAATTCATCCTAATTTAATGAAAACGAGACGTATGAAAAAGCCGTAAGTGCACAAAAAATGACATAGTTTTTTTCAAGACAGCCGTAGGTGCATGAGAGCCAATGAAAACAGTGCTTTCAAGAGGAATGCCGCCCTCATCTGCCGATTTCTACCCTGAAAATGTGTTTGTTGTGTGTCCAAAACTCAACCACGAAAGCATGCAGAAGATAGCACTTTCGGCTGTCTTGCCTAACAATAACCTAGCATGAAAATGAAAAATAGCCTTTTTATGTAATATAAATAAAATCAGTCGATTTTCAATCATCCAAACGACTTTTAGGAGTCTTTCAGACGATTAGTGGCAATTTCACAAAGAAGGCTTCTTTCAATAAAATTTTCCGGTCAGAAGCTTCTGCGCCCGTTTTCTCAAAACTTCATTTTTGCGCTTACGGCTCTCTTCGCTATCACGGCAGTATGCTGTAGCTGCATGGTTTCCTCTCTCGACGAACAGAAGGCTAGGAATCCACCGTCCAAGGATTGACTTCAGCGGCGCGGCATTCCAGTACAAAGCGCGGCGGTTGTATCGTGTGCGCAACACTCGATTCCGTTTAGCAGGGCCCCGATGTGGCAACAGTGTGTGACGTCACTTCGACGCTCGGCGCGACTCGTCGGCTCGTCGCTTCGCCCTCCTCGGCCTCCGCCAATCCGCTGCGCGAAACGTTTGCTCGATTCTCAGTACCGCGTGGCGGTTGCCTGACAATGGCCGCTGTCCTCATTTTTGCACCTTCTACCCCGGTCCTCCTTATGCAACGCGACGATTTTTAAGTTTATCGCGGTCATACAAGTGTGTTGTGTTTTCTACAGGTAAAACTGAAGCTAGGATAACTAAGGCGACACGCCTTTTAGGGGTACCGCCCCTGGTTACTTCGCAGTCCCACCCCTCGAAAAACTTCCTGCGTCAGGCGTTACCTATGCGTTGCACGTCACTATTTTCATTTCATATTATAGCGAATGAGAAACACCGAGCCCTCACATCGTGGTGGTCGAATGGCCCGTGGGGCTAGGATGCAATCGCCCCGTAAGCTTTGGTCAATGGGACCGCTCAAGGGTCTTTCTTCAGAAAATTTGAGGGCCTCATTTGGCAACTTTTTAAAAATTACTCCATATAAAACTGCCGTATTGGCTCACTCTGCCCTCCTAGAGAAAAATTGGCCGAAGCGATTTCCTTTAAACTTGGTACATACTTAGCAATTTTCGCGAGGAGTTGATCAAAATTATTCCAATTCTAATACGTTGCCCAGAACGCCCGCAAGAACAAAAAGTTGTTTTCCCGTATAGTAATGCATTGGAGATACGAGGTTGTTCACGCGCACCGCGCCGGCTCCGAACACGTGCAATCCCGTCGCGTGACGTCACAGCATTATAGTCGAAATTTCAGGTTTTAGGGGGTATTTTATGACGGATTGTGGTGAATTTGCTGGCAGGAAGTACTGTTCGACGGGAAACTCGAATTCTCGGTCAGATTTTCAAAATTTCAAAATCCAAGATGGCGGCCGTGACCTAAAATGCTAATTCAACTCCTGTTCGATCGATTTTTATGAAAGTCAGTATGTGGGGAAACTTTTCAACGAGAAACTCGAATTTTTTGTCAGATTTTTAAAATTTCGAAATCCAAGATGGCGGCCGTGGCCTAAATTGCTAATTCGGCTCCTGTTCGATCGATTTTTATGAAACTCGGTATCCGGAGGGACTTTTCGACGGGAAACTCGAATTTTTGGTCAGATTTTCAAAATTTTAAAATCCAAGATGGCAGCCGTGGCCTAAAGGCTAATTCGGCTCCTGTTCGATCGATTTTTATGAAATCGGTATCCTGTGGGACTTTTCGACGGGAAACTCGAATTTTTGGTCAGATTTTTAAAATTTCGAAATCCAAGATGGCGGTCGCGGCCTTAAATGCTCAGTCGGCTCCAGCTCGACGGATTTTCGTGAAACTCGGTAGTCGGGGGTATTTTTTGACGGGAAACTCGAATTTTTGGTCAGATTTTCAAAATTTTGAAATCCAAGATGGCGGCCGTGGCCTAAATTGCTAATTCGGCTCCTGTTCGATCGATTTTTATGAAACTCGGTATCCGGAGGGACTTTTCGACGGGAAACTCGAATTTTTGGTCAGATTTTCAAAATTTTAAAATCCAAGATGGCGGCCGTGGCCTAAAATGCGAAGTTGGCTCCTGTTTGGTCGATTTTCGTGAAACGCGGTATCCGTGGGTATTTTTCGACGAGAAAGTCGAATTTTAGGTCAGATTTTCAAAATTTCAAAATCCAAGATGGCGGCCGGGACCAAAGTGGCGAAGATGTTATCTTCTCATCATTATTATTTTTTCAAAAGTTAATGGCTATTAGAGGCGCGGGCGACTCGCGGAGCGAGTCGCAAATTCATCGCGAAGCGAGGAATCGGGGGTCCAGGGGCACTGGCACTCCCCGGCTAGTATGATATGCAATTAATTAAAGGATATACCAGAACATGCATATTATGAAGAATAAACAGTATATTTTCGCGGATGCATTTCGGCTAAAATCTATCTTCCGCAAGAAAAATTTACATGAGACACAAGGAAGAGCACTATATAAAGATAAATGTGTATCACAATTTTAACATGCATTGTGATACATACTTATCTTTATATAGTGCTCTTCCTTATGTCTTATGTGTATTTTTCTTGTGGAAGATGGCTTTCAGCCGAAATGCATCCGGGAAAATGTACTGTTAATTCTTCATTATATGTATGTATGCTTGTTCTGGTATATCTTTTGATCATTTATTTATCTTATATTATTAAAACACGCAAGATCCGATTCTCTAGTTTTTAAAAACCTTGCAGAGTCTCACCGATCCCTTCCCCCCTTTATCAACGAGGTTCCAATCCTCTTTTTGGCGGAGTCCGCCCTTCAGAAGATTTGGAGCAGGTCATCAGCCCTTGTAGGTTGGGGGGGGGGGATGAAGAATAAAACTATGAAAATTGCCAGACGTCATCTTTACCGACGACCCCTAACGTTCAGTAGAGAGAATATGTTATCTTATGCTTTTATCATGGGATGAAGGCTATTTTAAGCTTTTGGCGACAGAGCTGAGAAGAAAGTTGCTGCTCCTGAAGAAAAGTTTAAGCCCCAAAGGAAAACATTTCTATAAATTTCGGGGGCATTAGTAGATGGTCTCCATTTGCTTCTACAACGGGGAAGAGAGCATGAAAAGATTCTCTTGACAAAGGCACTCCATCTGACGTTTTGTCTCTCTGCTTCCCAGATCCACTATAACCGACCACGTTCATGCCATCTTGCTGCGTTGCTGGTTGCCCGGAGCGTAACAGAAGTAACCGAAAGGCTAACAGGGAACGCGTTTTCTTCCACTCTTTTCCCTTGCGAAAGCGATCTCCGGAGCGTTACGACGCGTGGGTGCGTTATTGTGGACGCGGAAAAGACTACGTACCCTCGAGGCACTCCTGTATCTGCTCTCGTCATTTCAACGCGTCTGACTACGACCCCTCGCAGCTACTGAAGATTAAACTCCTAAAGAACAGGCATCTTCAAGGAGCTCGCCACCTTCCAGGCGTCCTCCCAACGGCACCGCCTCCTGGTGTCGATGACATAGAACGCTATCCCAAGAAAGTCCCTATCACTGGCAAAGGTTCAACCGGCAAGAATCTCTGCTTGGGAAGATCATTCATGAGCAACTCCGGAGAAGAAAACGCACAGTTGGGGCAAAGTGATCCTGGAAGACTCTTGGAGGCGAACGTTATACAGAATGGCACCTCGGTATCCTACCCTATCCTAGGCTATGTGGGTTCTTACCTAAATTCATTCAGACCCATACTACCTCGCCCAGCGGCGCATCAAAGAGTAAACCAGGATGTTTCACCTAAAGATCCCCCAAAACCGCACACGAATTCTTCACAGCCGACCAAAAGCCGTAGAAGAACCAAGAGATCCCCCTCGCGTCGTCCAGAAGGACCGAGGAAAAGAGGCAATGGACCAAGGGGTGCAAAAGAAAAGCAAGTACAACAAATTCATACGATAGACACGCAATCCGTCACGCAACGACAACCAGTCGTCTTGCTGAAAACTGTGGGAGGTCAAAACTTGAGCGACATCTCCGAAGTGCCCCCAACAGCGGGACAAGTACAAGCGGCTTCCTTGGGCACGGCGAGTTTTGACTCTTTCAGTCCCGTCATTTCTGGAGTCTGCCTTCCACCACAGCAGGCTTGTCTCAATGTAAGAAGCTCAAATTCCGGCAGACGGATCAAGCCTTTTGTTCGTATCGCACCGAAAGTAGACCCGAAGCAGGGAACAGGCACAGGTGCTGCAACAACGGAAAATTCAAATCCTGGCACAGAAGTTAGTGAGCCTCGTCGAAATATCCCGGAATTGCAATCTCCAACCCGTGGCAACCGGAAGCAAGCTTTGGTTTGTCGGGATCTCCCAGAGTTGCAAAATCCATCCCGTAGCAACCGGAAGCAAGCTTTGATTTGTCGGAATCTCCCAGAGTTGCAAAATCCATCCCGTAGCAACCGGAAGCAAGCTTTAATTTGTCGGAATCTTCCGGTGTTGAGGCCGAACCCTTCAATTTCGGAATGCGTGGTCTCCGGAGATCAGCCTCCTCCAGACCCTGAATCCATGGTAACCTCAGATCTTGTCGTGTGTGAGTTAGAGTGCTTTGATGATCTTCCTAACTTGCAAGACCCAACTGGAACCCTCCCAAACAAGAACGAGGAGTCTGTGATCATCCTAGCCAATTGTAATCCTGAAGTCAGTTGGTTGGAGCCGGGAATATCTTTGGAAAAAGAAGACTCGACCAAGAAATGCTCAAACGAATCAGACTTCAACCCCTCAAGCACCACACCGTTTCGACCTGTGACTTTCAGTGATTCAGCCGTCGTTCAGGTTGCGATCAAATCCAACCCAGATAACTTTCCTCAAGTTGACTTAAAATGCGATGATTCCATGCCTGATGATGTCTCAGACTCTGGTCATCCATTACCTGAGGATGAATTGAATTCTTCGTACTCCATACCTGAGGATGCCTCAGATTCTGGCAATCCAGTGCCAGACGATACCCCAGAATCTGCCAGTGAGATGCCTGAACTCAAAAATGAAGAACTAGGAAGCGCTGATCCTCTACGGACGTCTTTCCAACCTGCTGTGTCTACTGCAGGCGAGCATGCGTCTTCTAATGGCGAGGATCCTCCGTTAGAAGTCATCAAGGAGGAATTCCCGACTCAGGATCCATTGGCTGGTTGTGAGGATTTGGAGGTCTCCAACAGCTCCGACACTGAAACTTTCGTGGTAGCCTGGAGCTGCCTGCTACCTTTGTTCGAAAACTGCCGAGTTTGTCACAATCCTGTCAGTCGCTTGAAAAGGTACAATGATGAGCAAATTTTGGTTGTGCAGACTTGGTGCGACAGTTGTCGTGATCACAGAGTGTGGAAGTCTCAATTTTGAAAGGTTAGCTAATGTCTCTTGAATATTTTATGGGAGTATCGAATACATAGAGTACATAGAGTCGTAATGTGAATGGGAGAGCTGGCGCCATGTTCTGCTCGACGAATTCCGAGCCCGGTGTGCGCCGAGTTCGGGTCGGTTTTTCGATACATTTTCGATCCAAAATGGCGGTGTAGAATACGTGGTAATTCCTATCTCCGTTGTTGTTGTTGTTTTCATCGGATGGCCGGATACCCGTGTATCGCAAACAATCGATTATGTATCGAAAAAGTGACCCGGCGTCACACAGGAGTCTCGGAATTCGGGACATGGAAAATGATTAAAAGTGGCGCCAGCTCTCCCAATTACATTACGACTCTATGTACTCTATGATCGAATATTGATTGTGAAATTAGAAAACATTCTGTATCTCGATTACCGAGTATTTTCGTGTCACATTTAACTCCACCAAAGGAAAGAGGCGTTTTAAAATATGAAAATGTGGCATAATTATGCTTCATCTACCTTATTAAACTTTAAACTTTAAAAACGGTCAAAACTTTAAACTTTAAAACTCGAAAATTAACTTTTTGCCAAAATATCACCTAAGTTCAGTTTTCTCAAACAATAGGAGAAATATAATTAAAAACGGACATAAAACTGTCGTCAAGATACTGAGTGTTTAGATTCCCCATCGGTACCTATGGATGTAGCTAATCCGAGATCATCGAAGATGCTCAGATGATCTTTTGAAAATATGTTGTCAGGCATTGAATATCCGTCAGAATAAGCGATGACCTTTTTTTTTGCCTAACTTTGATCGTTAAATTGGTTCTAGAAATGACTGGGCGCGTTACCTTTTTTCAGGTTCCTGGCACTAGTGACTTTCAGATTGTACATTTCAGCGGAGAAAAACAATTTTGTCTCCTGAAATTTTAAAGAACAGAGCTCTCATATTCACACACGTGTATTTATGTTCATTTAACCTCAGTCTAAATTTAGTTAAAGGTATTCTACTCAAACTTTTAGAATGAAGAAACTTAAGTAACTCTAATACCTAACGCACCAATAAAGTTTTTAAATATTGTTTTCCTGAAACATTTTGTCACGATCTTGGTTTTACAGAGCATTAGGCAATTCTTTGATTGACTTTCTCTTATTTTTTGTTCCAGTTTTCGCCTGCAAAGAGAAGTGGAAAAACTTAAGGGGTTGTTTCACCCGCGATATAAGATGGACGAAAAGAGATGGAAAACGCAAAAAGCCCTATTACCTCTCGGAGCACATGTTATTTCTCACACCTTACCTTAAACTCAACAAAACACTTTCGTAAGTATTTCCGTTGCCGAAACCCTCGCCGTGGATATCGATGGTCAAAGTGTGAAACCGCACGTATCTCCATTGCGGTGTCTCAAAATGTCTGTTCCTGTTTTTTTTTTCGTAGAGAGACAAGCCAACTTTATAGTTCGAACTTCATTCGGATTATTCTACGAATACGAAGGAAAACTTAAGGAAGTTTTCAAGAAATTACGTTAATTAATTACCAAGAGAAAAAATAAAATTTGATAGGAAGTCTGGAACGTCGCAAACGGAGATACGTGGTTTCTCACTTTGGCTATTGATATCATGGCTAACATAATCAAAGAGTCCTGCATAATTCGTAGCATTAGTAGGTTAATACTACACTCACATTATTTCTCAATCGTTCCGATCAGTTCGCCTTCAATATCTCCATAGGTAATGTGAGCGGATCGGGATGAGTAGTAGTTGCTCATAGCATTTTACCCACGCTCTAGGTACTGCTTTATACATAGCTTTTAGAGTGTAGCAGAAAAATACTATTCTCAAATTGTTTTTCTCTCGTTCCGATTAGTTCTCCTTCAATATCTTGATAAGCAATATGAGCGGCCTAAGAGCTGCAATAGGTAAGTAGAGCCATATAATAGTTAGCAGTCATTATTTTGTGTATAGAGGTATTCAATGATTGTCATCAGGGCCGGACTGGCTCACATCTGAGGGCGTAGACCCTTGGCTGGTTAAAGGGGCGTAATGTGATATTTCCTGGTAGGGCATTCCCTACGTGGAGAGGGGTCCAGAAAATTTTGGCAAATCAGCACAAGTTTACGCTATTTTCAGGTTCAAAGTTTATTGATCGCACGGAGTAAAAATTGCAAAATTGAACGTGAAGCACAGCATTGAGAGCTCACGCTTCGCGTCATCCCGCCTTCAATTTTTCAAATGCAGCACGGACGTCCATCAAGTACGAATAGTTGTATCTCTGCGCCGTCGTAAACACGCATCCTTTCCCTCCCTCTTTTTCCATATTGTGTTTGTTTCCGTTTGTCTTATTCGTAATGGTGCTTCAAGCACTACGTGAGTAATACAGCCGAAGGTAGGAGAGATGTCTATAGGCCTTTTTTTAAACTTTTCTCCCGAATCAGAGCGACGCTTCATTGACAGCATATAGCAGAGCATTGAGAGCTCACGGTACGTGTCATGGCGCCTTCAATTTTTCAGATGCAGCACGGACGTCCATCAAGTACGAATAGTTGTATCTCTGCGCCGTCGATAACGCGCATCCTTTCCCTCGCTTTATTTCCATATTGTATTTGTTTGCGTTTGTCTTATTTGTAATGTTGCTTCCAGTGGCGTGCGGTGGGTTCCGTGACAGGGCAAGCTCTAGCGTTCGCCATCGGTGGGGGGTGGGTTAACGTAGCCTCTTTCCCTTCCCCCTCCCCCTAGCCTCCCTAGAAAATTCTTAAAATTTTACTCTATTTGCTCTATTTTTCGGATGAAATCTGATGGAACGTAACGTCTTGAAAAACTGTATTTTTATTTCTTTCTCTCTTATTTATGATTTCGTTTACTCAACTTGTTTCGAATGTTATTGAGCATTGGAGGACGGCTCCTTACTCATAACTCCTAATTTTGCCACTTATTTGAGGTATTATAGTCTTTATTCTACAGCATTTAAAATTTTTTGAGCTACTTAAATTTCCCCCCAAAAAAGGCTTTCTGCATTTAAAACATGATTGAGAATTGTCTAATTCATCACCAATTAGATCCAAGTGAGCGAAATTTTATAGAATATAAAGGCGTTTGCTCCGGAGGAACAATTACAACCGCGACGGAAAGAGGGAACAAGATAGCGCATCGGAGGCAGAAAGCAGCGCGCTGCGGTGACGGGCCAAGAGGTGGCCAAGAGAAGCGAGCTGCGATCGCGCAGCGAAGGGCTCGGACTCGGAACGTACATACCGCGCTCCCCGCCTGCCTTGATTCCGCCGCCGAGCAGTGGCTCTCCGCTCAGCTGATCGCAAGCGATTCTCCAGCGCATGAGTTGGCCCGTGTTCAGGCCGCGCAGCGCGCTGCGCCACCTCCATCCGCTCTGCCGCTTTCCTACTTTGGTGGCTCTATACGTATTTCTGTCTCCCTCTGTTTCTGTTTTAATGCAATTTACATACTTACTGAACGCATTTTATAAATTATATTTGCTAAAATGTGAAACATTTAATAGGTGTAATTTTCTTATTTCTTTTGAAATCTTTAGGCAAGCAGTGCTTGCCTTGCTTATCCGGACCGCACGCCACTGGTTGCTTCAAACTAGAGCTGAGCATTGCGAGTTCACGACTCACGGCATCGCGTCTTACATTTTTCATGTGCAATGTGGACATCCATCTTGCGCGAATAGTTGAATCGCGTTTACATTTTAGATGTCTCTTATTTTTTAATTTCGAGATAAATTAAGGTTAAGTTTGCCCGAGCTATGCTATGATGGTATGTCCAAATCAATAGTCATTTGAAAAGGAGGAAATATGTTTAAAGGTCTCTTAAGAGGTCTATTAAGGATGCGTATGTCTAAAAATCGAACCGACCATCGCTTCTAAGGGAGTTGCACATAGCGAATAAAGGAGGGGGATGATAAATCGCCTGTATGTCAAGAAGAAGGTGAAAATTTTACAGCAAATTGTTTACACTTCAGAAAGTAGTTCTTGGACCTCTGTTCACCACTATCATGCTAAAAGCACCTTTCTTTACTCCTAACCCTCTTCTTTCGTTCATTCAAGAAATTTTCCGCGTTTATTCTTGGTTGTAATTTTTTCTTCTTCTTATTTTGCTGTCTGAAAGAGAAAGAGGGGCGCGTTTTCGGCGCGCAAAGGGGGCTTATCTTCCATTGGCAGATTGGCCTTATGGCCAGTCCGAGCCTGATTGTCATAATATTTCGTGTATAAAGCACTAGTTGAATGTCTTTCTAGATACCTCAAAGAGACTTTATCGACAGCTCCTTTTTGAGTATGCACCACGAGTATTGAGGTTACAACGTATTTGATTCTTGAGGACAGTGAAGCGGAGTCAGCTCAAAGTGTGGATTTCGTTATTAAGTAAATATTTTTATCAACATGTCTGGAGCCGGCTGTGCGTTGACTGATGCCGATGAGCTACTCACCAATACTGTCTAAGCATTCATAACAGAGGTTGACTACCCTCTCTTATCACGAACTACTAATCATCAGCAAACAAACCTTCCAAATTCTGCGGTGTAGTATTTTTAATGACGCGTATTAGTCAAAGACCATGTCAGTTAGTAACAACCGACCTGAGGGACTTCAAAGTTGAATGTGCAGATTTGGTATGTTTTAGTGTCTGTTATTACGCATGTTTCTCAAATACTCAGCCTAAAATCCCAACCACATTTGCAATTTCTTCAAATATGATTATGCAATCTCTGTGAAAAATTGTGCTTGTGAGCTTATAACCGGACAAAAAAATCTGTGAAATTCTCAGTCAGAAGCGCCCAAATAGTTTCTTAATTACCAAACGCTTATTCCCAAGTGAAAATTTGCAACATTGAAATGTAGTTACATACTCTCTCCCGGAGAACGACAAACTGACCTTTAAAAGAACTGCATTCCACAAAAATGCAGGTGACTTTTTTTCACCAATTTCTAAACAGGAAAAAGTCAATTCTTCAATTAATTTTTTGTAGATGTGCCAGAATTTTTCCATGTCACTAATGCAGTTTAAATAATATTCACAGCGAACACGAAAGAATTCGTATAGCGTTCAAGACAAATAAATACTGTGGTAACTTCTTTACCAAAGAACATCGGTTCAACTAAATATCACCAACATCGGCTTATTTATTTTTGGAAGCTTTTCATAAAATACGTAACGCTGAAAATCGGACTTTTGATCCCCTCCCTCTTCCACCGAAGTAGATCCAGGCTCGGACTGGCCATAAGGCCAATCTGCCATTGGCAGATTCGCCTCCTTTGCGCGCCGAAAACGCGCCCCTCTTACAGATAGCAAAATAAGAGGGAAAAAAATTACGACCGAGAATATGTGAGAAAAATTTCTTAAATGAACCGAAGAAGAGAGACTTAGGAGTAAAGCAAGGTGCTTTAACGCATGATAGTGGTGAACAGAGGTCCAAGAACTACTTTCTGAAGCGTAAACAATTTTCTGTGAAATTGTCACCTTCTTCTTGACATACAGGCGATTTATCATCCCCCTCCTTTATTCGCTATGTGTAACTCCCTTAGAAGCGATGGTCGGTTCGATTTTTAGACATACGCATCCTTAATAGACCTCTTAAGAGACCTTTAAACATATTTCCTCCTTTTCAAATGACTATTGATTTGGACATACCATAGCATAGTTCGGGCAAACTTAACCTTAATTTATTTCGAAATTCAAAAATAAGAGACATCTATGTAAACGCGATACAACTATTCGCGCAAGGTGGATGTCAACATTCCATATGAAAAATGTAAGACGCGATGGCGTGAGTCGTGAACTCGCAATGCTCTGCTCTAGTTTAAAGCAACATTACAAATAAAACAAACGGAAACAAACACAACATGGAAATAGAGCGAGGGAAAGGATGCGCGTTAACGACGGCGCAGAGATACAACTATTCGTACTTGATGGACGTCCGTGCTGCATCTGTAAAATTGAAGGCGCGATGACGCGAACCGCGAGCTCTCAATGCTCTTGAAGCTTCGCTCTGATTCGGGAGAAAAGTTAAAAAAAGGCCTATAGACATCTCTCCTACCTTCGGCATTATTACTCACGTAGTGCTTGAAGCACCACTACAAATAAAACAAACGGAAACAAACACAACATGGAAATAGAGCGAGGGAAAGGATGCGCCTTAACGACGGCGCAGAGATACAACTATTCGTACTTGATGGACGTCCGTGCAGCATCTGAAAAATTGAAGGCGCGATGACGCGAAGCGTGAGCTCTCAATGCTGTGCTTCACGTTCAATTTTGCAATTTTTACTCCGTGCGATCAATACACTTTGAACCTGAATAGCGTAAACTTGTGCTGATTTGCCAATATTTTCTGAACCCCTCTCCACGTAGGGAATGCCCTACCAGGAAATATCACAATACGCCCCTTTAACCAGCCAAGGGTCTACGCCCTCAGATGCGAGCCAGTCCGACCCTGAACTTGCATCCTCCAAAAAAATATTACGTAACGTACTGCAACCCGGAAATCCCACTCCTCTCCACCCCCC